AGTCTGTCCCTGGCCAAGTGAGGAAGAGGGTGAGAAGTGATATTTTCCTTCACACCAGCCATCGAGGAGTGCAATATCCATCAGATTCAGCTGCATTTCACCACTAGGTGGGGTCATGATTTTAGTTTCAACAAGCCGCTCTGTTGATGGTAACTCAAGCTGCCAGTGGTCGGCTGAAGAAGCAGCATTAACGATTTTTAAGCAGTATCAGGGTCACTGTACAAGCAGTGACAGATGTACTTTTGCCGGATTCCTTATCTGTACTGTGGGTATTGTGTTCAGCATAAAACTTTGTGATTTAGTTTGCATGTGTTTGTGTAAATCAGGAAAGGTGTGGAATTGCTTGAAATCTTAGATTCATTTAAACACCCAGGTGGAAGGATTGCTCTTTCCTGTAAGTGCAGTGACCCGGAACAGCACTGTCCTGAGAGCATTGGTGTCTTTGTAAGCAACTGGCAACTTCAAGCCAGACCCAGCGAGGGGCCCAGCTGTGGAGAATGAGGGATTGTCCTCTCTGATTTAGCATAAGCCCTGCACCAAAAGATATAGTTAGTGCTGTCAAAGTGGAGTAGTTCAGAGGTTTACGTGTCATTTTAGCACAACTAGCGCTGGAGCAATAGTTCAGACAGGGGCTGTGTTCTCCTTATATCCTATGTTTTACCAGTAGGACAGTGCCAGTGAGGGGAACTGTTGTCTCAGATTGCATCCTGCTCTGCAGCTGACACTTGCTGTTATCCATCTCTAATTTACGTGCCCAGATTAGGGCAGGTTAAGGTACCTTCTGTCTGTTTAGCTTCCTAGTGTTCATATATACTTAACCGGTTAGTTAGGTATCCTTTACAGTTTATATATATACTACAGGTACTTTTGATTTCGTAAAACAGATCAAACCAGAAGAGTCATTAACTTTCCTAGAAGAGAGCTTAGCGTGATTGCTTTATCATGAACTATATGTACTGGCTGATTTCTTTGTTGTTCTTTTCTAGGGTTACGATCACAGCTATTTTTTCATTGCTACATTTATTAACGACCACATCAGGCACCATGCAAAATACCTCAATGCTTGAACCATTTGGATGTGAGCGTCGTCTGTCCAATATGAATCGAGGGATGGAGGTGAACTAAACAAAAATCATTTGCTCAAGTAGTGTCTGTAAAATGGAGCTCTTCTGATTGTACTGCTAAGAAAAATAAAAGTCCCACTTAATTTGATGTGTGTGCTTTAGAGTAAGTATTTTGAATGTTCTTGCATGCTTTGAAAACTCTCTCGACACCGTGAAGGTGCATGCTGCATTGTAGGTCAAAATGGAAATTAGCAGATGAGTTAGTTTCAGACTGTGAATGTGGGTATGTAGTTGGGACCTCAAGACAGTTTCTAGTGCAACTACGCAGAGACTTATGAGTAACAACAGCATGCCTCTTCAGCTGATTAAATACCAGGGTTCACTTCATCACTTAATGCTGAAGGAAGTCGTTAGTGGCACAACCAATCAAGCTACTTAATTAATCTGAAGTGTTTGGTGTCTTTTTCCTTGTCCTCTCTAAATACATTCCAAGGACAAAGTCTGGCGGAGAATACAGACAGAAGGTTGCTATGCAGACTGGTTTACTGTCCAGTGCGTTATTAACAGCAAACGAATAATCTGAAGAGTGTTTCACAGATGATACTTAAAGAAAAGACCTCTTACGAACCATGTGAAGGAAAACGTCTGTAGTAAAGGAGGGTTTTTTTTTTTCCCTCCACTTGCCTTTGATTGTTGCTGGGTGTGAAAGGCTTATGGTGTGCTTCTGGGTTCCTTAGACTTAACAGGACTGAGAGGAAACCGATAAATAGATCTGAAAAAAGCAGTCCCTATCTATAGATGATCTGATATCTCCTTGTTGAAAACGAGTGTGCTTATTTTACAGAAGATGGCAGAATTTAGGCCTGACAGTTGTAGATCTAAAATAGTTTCCAGTGGTATAGTTCTGCCAGCTACCTTGTGTGGGGCAAGAACACAGACTGTTCCAGTGAGCTGTTTATCTTACGTTCAAGCAATCACTTGTAAAGTCTGCTTTCCCATGGTTCGGCTGAACCCACATTGTTGCTCAAACCTTGACTCACTCTTGCCAGAGGAAATACTAGGGTAGATGTCGGATCGGTTTGCTTTTGTAAGCAATGCTGAATGCTCTCCTGTTTCTCTGGCCCCTGCTAGATTCTAGGTTGCAGGGAGGCTGATGCCGGGAACTTACGTTTCTGTTGGTGGTGACAGGCTTAAATTATTTATTGACTTGTATCAATCTTGCATCTACCTGTTTCTGAAGTAAGCTTAGAAGGCTGGGGAGATACAACTGTGTGCATTGCAAGAGTTCTCTGAAATCATAGAATCACAGAATAGTTTGGGTTGGAAGGGACCTCTAAAGGTCATCTAGTCCAACCCCCCTGCCGAGGGCAGGGGGATCTTCAACTAGGTCAGGTGGCTCAGAGCCCCGTCCAAAATGACCTTAAATGTTTCCAGGGATGGGGCATCCACCACCTCTCTGGGCAACCTGTGCCAGTGTTTCACCACCCTCAGCGTAAAAAATTTCTTCCTTATATCTAGGCTAAATCTACCCCCCTTTAGTTTAAAGCCATTCCCCCTTGTCCTGTCACAACAGGCCCTGCTAAAAAGTTTTCTGCCATCTTTTTTATAAGCCCCCTTTAAGTACTGATAGGCTGCAATAAGGTCTCCCCGAAGCCTTCTCTTCTCCAGGCTGAACAACCCCAACTCTCTCAGCCTTTCTTATAGGAGAGGTGCTCCATCCCCCTGATCATTTTTGCAAGTTTTCCACACTCTGTAGATTTACAACAGACACTAACTCCTCCTTTCTTACAAAGCAGGGCACTGACATAAAAATTTTAAGCCACAAGTGCTAAACATTTAGATTTTTCCACTCCCACAACAGCAAAGTTGGCTCAAAGGCTTGTTTAATGTGTGGCAGCTTCTTCTAGTTGTTCCTCCCCCCCCAGCAACCAGGCAACTGCTCTGCCGTAGCCAGCAAATGAATTACTGGGCTGTATCTAATGCTGGACTGGAGCAGAAGTGTGCTGTGCTTGTACGGCAGCCTTGTGCCCAGTACTACGAACAGAGTAGCAGTGGAGTCAGGGTGTTTGGCTTGGTGCAGGTACTTCTGATGATAAACATTTCCATTTGTTACCTGTCAAAGCTAGTCCTTTTTTGCCTAATGCATTCTGATAATTGTATTTAAGGGAAAGGGGCACGCCATTTTTTTTTCATTCCTGAACAGGAGTGTGTGCACCTGCATGTTATATTAGAGGAGATTAAAAAGCGGGTTTAACCATGTAATTTACTTTAAGTCCTTTTAAACCACAATTTTAAAGCTGCTGGGTTAATGACAAGAAACAGCTTGCCCTGCGTGGGAGGAAAAAAGCCCTCTTTCATACTTGATGAATTTATATGGCATAATTCTAAGTTTCCCATTATACTGTGGATAGTTGTGGGGAGCTTTATTTCCTGTATCCTTAATTTACAGTCCAGCAAGAGACCAATTACCATATCAGCTTCCTCAAACAACTGCCCAGCTACGATTCTGGAGCTGAAAATGCCCATCATATTTTCCACTCAGCGCTCCTAATAATTGACTGCCATCCCGCACTGTTTGCTTTCTCCATAAAACGGAGCATTTACATGCACTGCTGCCTTCCTCCTTGAGAGGGACTTCCAGTTGCCTCGCTTGTGAACAGGAGGAGATTCAGGGAAGCATCTGACGGGCTCTCTGAGTCCACAAGAACTTGCTTCAGAAGTCAGTAATCTCAAGGCTTTATGGAAACTGCCCTGAGGTCTTACAAAACTGGTGCTAGAGGGTTGACAAGGAAGGGGCCCCTCAAACTGCCCTTGGCCACAGGCTGCGAGTCCAGGACAGCGCAAACCCGGGAGAAGACTTGGGGCGCTTGAATCAGTTCTGCAGATGGCTACAGACACCAAGTGTCTCTGCACCATCTTGATAAGAAATTGTGTGAGGCTGTCAGATCTCTGTGGTTGGCAATGCTCAAACCTCAGCTGCACATGGCCCTCGGCTGCCTGCTGTTAAACAGGCTCTGCTCTCAGTACGGAGCAGCACCAGAGGACCGCTGCAGGACTCTTCCTGCCGAAATTACGCCGATTCTAACGCAGCAATGGGTCTGTCCTGGCTTTGTATCCCAACAGCCACAAAGGCACTCAAGCTTCCTTGGCAATCAAAAAGCAGGATCTCCCCAGGAGATTATTGCAGAAAGATCCTTTCCTTTCAAAATCCACTACCAAAAGTGAACAAAGACAGCCATAAAATCACCTGGTTAAGGTCAAGATGCTTCATTAGAGAAATGAGAACTTAGCAGAATCTGTACTTATGTGACTTCGGAAACCTGCACGGGAAAGAGGCGGCTGTATACCATGACCTACAAGCAGTAGTCCCTACTACCTGTTTCTGCAGACGGAAGGGCAAACCAGCCAGTATACAGCTGCCCTTTGCTTGGATTCACTAGAATAAAGAAATCATCAGATTTTGTTTGCTAAAGCAAAAGCCTGCAGGGTGACCTCTGCAGGAGGGCAGGGAGGGGGAAAAAGAAGCTGCACTGTACAGTGGAGTGGGAAGCGGTAAAAAGAACGACTCCTACAGCGATGCGAGCAGGAGCAAACTGAAGGTGGGGTCTCCCTTCTCCCTGAGCTGAGCCCCCCAGGTCACCCAGCCCTGGAAGCAGAGGGCAGTTAATTCAAACTGCTGCTGTTCGCTACATGACTGGCCGGAGATCTTCAGCAAGAGGAGCAGCAAAGCTGCAGGAAGCTCATTTGCAGGAACCGACAGCGAACCGACAACCCAGCAGTTACTAGCTGGATCCTATTCCTAGTTCAGCTGCAAAAGTCCTTTATTTGGGTCGCACCCCCAAAGCCTCACCCATCATTCCCAGCATGAAGCTCTCCAACCACCACCTCTTTTACAAGAAACTGTCAGTCACAGGGGTAGTCATTAAAGGGTTTCTACAAATAATAGAGTTTAATTGTAACTACAGTAAAGATTTTCTATATACATTATGTTCACTGCTTCGGGTAGTATAGATTTGCCATGCATGTTTTATTGCACATATAAATAGTATACAAAGATTCGTGAAGATTCTCTTTTTAGCCATACAGGTTAAGACTAGTATAGATTTGCCATGCATGTTTTATTGCACATATAAATAGTATACAAAGATTCGTGAAGATTCTCTTTTTAGCCATACAGGTTAAACCTGCATAAAAAGAGTTGTATTACAAAATATTTAGAGCTATTTATTTACAGCCAACTTCAAGCACATACTGAAAGACACTATCAGGAGAAAAACAAAATTTTAATTATGAAAAAACAAGATTTGTCAAAATAATAATTACAAAGCTTCATGTTACCATATATACATTGTAAAAAAATACTCAGGAAACCTGCATTTTATCCCTCAAGATGCAGAAATCAATATTCCTATTTTCATACTCGATCTTTGAATGCTTTTAAAATTTGATAAACTCTGACTTGAAAACTTATTTTCTTTACATTGCTCGTGCTTTTTGACAAAACAGATATTTGTGCAGCTCTAAAATATTAAAATACATTTTAATTTAGTGTTAAAGTGCACAGTACATTTTCTAGGAAACAATATGCTAGCTGCCAATCAAAATTACAATTTAAGTCAATGTTCCCTCTATAAAATAAACGCTTTCGCTTTGGTTGAAGTAACTGGATATTCCACGCATACTGTATGTCTCACTGTCTGCGAGTCCGCTCTCCTCCTCCTAACACGTTGCTGGCAATACAGACTAGCACATTGGCAACTTGTGGTATTAAAACGCGTGGTCTGCATTCAAATACTGTATTAACGATTAAAAGTCTGCTATTGGAATAGTGGTAGTTCTAAATGCAGTGTCTGTGAACGCGCGTGTAACTCTGCCTAGCTACGTAGTAGTGACCAGTATGCATCGTTCTTCCAAAAAGTCTTTATACAATAGTTCTCTCCCCGTTCTCTTGCTCACCTATTTACTCCTCCCACCGCATTGCCTCTTTTTTGTCGTCACGCATTTCGAGCTACCTGCTTGTGTGCACCACTGACCCCTGACAGCCAGCCTTTCCGCCACATGCAGCGTTCCTGTCCCGCTTGCCGAAGTTACATCGCTAGCTTCTCGTAGGAAAGAAAAACGGATGTTCCAGATACGGTGAGAATGGCCGTGCTGGAACTTTTTGATCTAAAACGTGTGATGTTTTAATAATAAATTATGCTTTTTAAAATCTCTTCCAACAATTTTAAGTAGTGGTAAGAAAAAGAACCTTATTTCCTATTGCTGACATGGGATTAGAGGTCTGATCCTGCAAACATTCGCTACGGAACTTTGTGCTTAATTCTGTGGGAAAATGATGGAGACTATAAGGAGAAGCACTGTACCCAGCAGGTTGTATCTGGAAGATCAGGTCTTCTGAGACCGCCTTTAGCAATTTTAATAATTTTATCTCCTCTCAAAGGAATCCTCGAAGAAAACAATTAAAATTTTTTGGCTACCTGGTAAATCTCGCTGATGTTCTTGTGCTGTTTTGTATTATTTGTTCTGTAGTGCTGTAGTCTTTAAAAGAACTCAAGTTACAGTGCAAAATTATATTTCAAGACACATGATCCTAATGCACATCACTCATTTTGTTGTGGCAAAAGTTAAATGTCTTGGTGCATAGTAAAATAAGCAATCAAAAAATATTTGTTCACATTTATTTTTCAAGTTTACATCTTTCCTTTTTTTTTTTTCTTTAAAACATCTATATACAAATAAAATGGGTGTGCTCTCAGTTTCAGCCAATTTAGTCTAGCGGGGGGAAAAGAGCTACTGGAATGTAGGAAACTCAAACGGAATGCAGGCAAATTTTTACCAATGTTCCACAAATTCAAGAAATAAAGAATGCCATTCCAGCTAGCTGTTCTTTTAATAAAAGCACCTATTTTGTTTGCTTTTTATCTTACTTATTAGAAAATACAATTTATGGAGATCTAGAGCTACTGCACTCCAAATAGAATAAAAAATAACTAAATATTTATATTAAAATAAAGTGTTTAACCACAAAAAAGCAGTAATAAAATACAGTTTCCTAATTTACATTTTGCATCCAAAGGATGAATAACAACTCACTAATAAATAATATTTATATAAATATTTTATGTCAGGGTATCATTAAAAGGCAATAGCCTGAAGCAACTGCAGAAAAACCTAACGTGGTCGAAGTCGGATTTACTCTCCCTCGTCCCGTCCCCCCCAAAAATGATTACAATGATTCTTAGTTTAATAATACGAAGGTATCTTGCTGCAAGACAGCTGTGTACTCCACACATTTTCAAGTGGCAGAGAGGTGGCTGTTTTAGTAAGTACTGTACAAAGCGAGCTATAAAAGCAGTGAAGCGCCCATTTGCACTATAAAATGTTTCTGTTTAGTTTCTGGTTTGTAGTTCGACGCACATGTACAGTCTGAAAGATGATTTTAAAATCAGAAGTATAAGGATACTCTTGGAGCACTGGTTTTTTTCAATGCAGTTTGAAAAGATGGGCAGTATTTTGATTCTTTGATGGCACAGTGGAGCTGGTAACAGCAGAGATAGTAGTTTCATGTGAATAAAGCTTGTTTCACTGTGGTTACATCTAGCAATGCTTGAACTGTTACGCTCACTTTTACCAAGCCCTTTTCTTCTAGGATGTGATGTGGTAGGCAGAGCTTCTCCTAGAAAAAGACAAACAAAGGAGTAAAGATTAGGATAGTCAATACTCGCTGCAAAACGTTGCTTTACATGAACACAGTTGGAACACAAAGCCCAACACGCAGAAACCGTTTCCTATTTTCAGTTAAAAAGAACTTCCTCTGATTTTGACAGAAAGGCTCTGATTTTGCTCTCATTACACCTATGAATTAGTGACAGATCTGGTAATATTCTGGGCCTCAGAAACCAACCTCTTCTGTGGTCATTACAGTACGTAAACCTCTTAGTTACTAAGAGTGAGGGCCAGCAAGTACACACTGAACTTTCACCTGCAAAGTGAGATAACACGGCATTTGCCCGTTACTAGGTATGAGTGAGACTGGGGACAGAAGGCTGGTTTTATCAGTCAAAAAAAGTTCTACCGCTGAGCTCTGGACAGGTAGGTCTTGGTCCCAGGATACGCACCTTGAAAGCCACCCATTAGCGTTTACAGACAAGTGTGTGTAATGTTGTGCATTCAATGGGCGAAGCGTTTCGTTCTGAGTAATTAGCAGCTTACTTTGACATATCCAGGACTCAACTTTATTCACCGTTAGGACACAGCAGTCATGGCCAGGATGAAACCTACTGGCTGTCCACAGAGGCTGTTACACCAGAAGACAGTCAAACAGTAAATACTGTATCTCCTACAGGTAACAAGACGCTCCCAGTGAATAATTACAGAAAGCCTTGCTTAGAGAGGTAGCCTTGTGTCATGGTTGGCTCTCTTTAAAAAGAAGTTTTTCTTAATGTAACTGGGTATTCCCGTTAATGAAATCCATGACATTATGAAATCAGGCAGCAGGTTTATAAAAAAATAAACGGAAAGGCTAGACTACATCACATAAACCATAATTACACCTGTGAGACTTAGTGCCACAACATGGAAGCCAGAAGTGGGATGACAAAAATATACAGATAGAAACCCAAACAACGCTATTAAACACAAACACGTGGATACGGTGTCTGGCTCGTGAAGTCCTTACACTGTGCATGTCAGATTGCTTTAAGTTTGAAAAGGCATCATCTACGTGATCTAACCTTCTGTTCTTTCCCTAAGCATCCGTACGTGACCATCAGCAGACATGGGACACTAATTTTTCAGAAAGAGAGGGTTGTTTTGATATTCTCAGTATTGAATCTCTTAGCTGTTCAATAAACTTTTAGCTTCTAAAAGTACTGATGCATTTGAGATTCTATTTTAATTAATTGCCTGTCTTCTACTGAATATTCTTCTTGCTTCTGTAATGTCAACTAAGGGTCTCTTATTTTATCTTTATGCAACTCATGGTCCTTTGTCACCCTTCCTCATATTCACATTGATTATATCTCCAATTTAAGCATCACTAATCTTTTCAACCTCTCTTCTCATGACACATTTTGTTCAGCTCTAGTCCCTTCTCTGACCCCTGTGAACCGTTAAAACTAAATATAATATTCAGGATGATGGAACTGATACATACAAGAACAATTAATACAGTTTTTATCATGTTATGCACCTATGTTTAATTGCTTTTATCGGCTTCCACTGTCGTCCACTCTTTGCTCAGGAAATCCCCTCCAGTGGGCCACAGCTCCATCAGAGTAGTACCAGTATTAAACAGCTGCTCCGCTTCTTCTGATGTTTATGACTTTCTTTTGTTAATGAGTATTTCCTTTATGCACAACCAACACTTAGCTTGCTTAAATTTTTTGTCAAGTTCCTCACACCCCACTCCAGCCTCAATGAGACAAGAACTGTGAAACTTACCTATTAACTACTGAGCCTAAAAAGTGAGAGCCAAAATTCATTCACAAGCATGGCATCTAATACCGATAACTGTAATTTATCTATATTTTATGTTTACATTTTATATTCACTAGTTAAGATGTTTTAATATTTTACTATCTTATGTTTAAAAGATTTATTTTAAACTTAATTTGTAATTATTTTTTTTAAGGTTCATGGTTATAGCCCAGAACACCAAACACACACTGTGGATTCCTTCTGCACTCACAGACCCAAGAAACAATTTCAAACAGGTAATTTTCAAGGAGCTTGGCTGAGTAGGTCTGCAAGAGATGGACAACATACATTTCTCCACATGGAAGATGCTACAACATTCTGGTGATCTGCTAACGCTGGGTTTCCACTTCCATTGAGTTTGTGGATTCTGATTCACATTGACCAGACAGCTGCAGCAACTGCCCCCCATTCCTGCCTGCTACCGTGCCCCTCTCTGCTGGAGCTATTTGCCCAGTCAGCACAAAGGAATATCCCCATCTTGCAGCTATCCCAGCTCATCACCCAGATTTCCATTCCAAACCTACCCTAAACTGGTCATTTAAGTTAAGACACTGGGTTCTGCAGTTCATTCTTGTTTGTTCTTCTGACTGAGATAAGGACCTGCAAGCTGTCAGAGACAGTTCTCCCAGCTTTTATTCCTCTGGAAAAAAGTGTCTTTTCCAGAGAAATATATCAATATATTTTAGGATGCAAACTCCTAAAATGATACCTGATTAGCACTGGAGTAGCTAGAAAAGAAGGTAGATAGTGATATCAAATAAAAGGAAAAAAACAAAACAAAACAAAATATTTCTACTTCAAATTTATGTTTTTTACTAAAAAATATTTTGCCAATCTGAAGTCTTGGGACACAGTTCATATAAAAGTCTACAACACTCTGATGCAGATAATTTTAAACCAAAATATATTCATCTTATTTATCGAGAATAACATTTCACTTCAGATGTCTGATTTGCATTCTCTCCACGCTCTTCTACTTCTTTCCTTGCACAATAGGCTCTTGTTTCACAGATTTGGTGGCCCACAACATGCCAATATTTCATTAGTCTTCCATGCTAGACAAGGCATTAAATAATAGTGCCTGCTGAATCCAATATCTGAAAACTAAGCTATGAGCATTACAAGGCTGAAGGGTAAGGATCGAATCCAAAAACCCAGCCCCAAAACAACCTACCTTGCTAGATATTTATGTTTGAGAATATTCTAAATTTTTCTATTGAAGCCAAATTTGCTGGAAAAGCCACAGTTAAGGATGTTGCCCTTAGAAAAACTTAAATTCTAAACTTACCATTTTTGTGGCACCTTACAGCACTCAGAACTATTCTGGCATGCTTTCTCACTAGGAATTTTGCAGTTGTTTATAAGCACATTTTCACTAAAAGCATAAAGGATTGCATGCCTCATTTCATATAAAAACCCGATCCAATATAATTTTTCTCCTTTTAAAGACAATGCATGTTCTAATTCTTTTAAATACAGTATAGTAATCCAGTTTGCATAAAGCAACCTCTCCCCCCCCTGCTGTATTTACAAGATGCCTACTCAAATAAGGAAGGCTATTTAAGGAGGTCTATAAAAAAACCCAGGACTGTAAACTGTGTTCTAGGAGTGAGAAGTTTCACAGCATGTTACTTTTTCATATTATACATCATTCTTCATTAGTGCTTGAAACATATACAATTGACAGCCTTCTCTTATTAAGCAGAAGGTGGAACTTGGTTAGTATTTTATAGTTCTGCAGTTAAGCATGCAGCTATGATGAACTTTCCAAAACTGACAGTGAGACCTACGCCATCTCCTAAAAATGACAAACTTCATCTTAACGTGTCACGAATCCATTCTCTACTCTAAGCCCTAATCACTATCTTCAAAGCTTTGTAAATGGCTTTCATCAACCCTGCCTCACATACTTTTCAAATCACGGCTTTAGAGTAATATATTTAACTCTTCTCAGAATAAGAAAAATCAAATCCTGCCAAGGATGGAATCCAGAGCACACTGATAACCAACTCAGCTTTCTGCATAACAGCAGTTACCTTGGGCCAAGATCCCAGGTGTCTCAAGTCCATTTTCCATGCTCTGCCTCACTCTCTAACCCACTACAACTGCTATCTAGAAACCACTGACAGCAGAGCTGTGAAGCTGCAGGCCATGAAGATTTCAAACCTTTTCTTAAATCTTGGCATTTTGAGACAATATGCCTGACCAACCAAGAGAAGAACTCACCCATGACTCTGAGGAGACTCAACCTCACCTACTTCTCCCTCCCCATCTTTGATAAGATTTCCGTCCCTTTTACATCAACATCAAACCCATAACACTTCAATATAGTAGTATGAATCGCCTCTCTAAAAATACCCCTGTTGAAACCATCGCTGAACAAACCCCAGAAAGACAGACAAAAGAACTGGCTACTAATTCTCAAGACCAGTCTAAAAATCTTTAAAAACAGTTGTGGAGGGAAGGGCTGCCACTCCACTCACAGCAGCATGAATATCTCTCTTCTCTATCTACCACAAAAATGAAGATCAAAATTTTTAATGTATTTTTTCTCCCTAAGAACACAGAGGAACTTAATTATGTGTTGCAAGCAAACCACTTTCTACAGACACATAGCCATTTTGAATGGATAAAGATGTTTTCAAACTCATCATGAAGCAAAAGAACAAACTCCTTTTGACAGGGGGGAAAAAAAAAAGGCACAAAAAGGAGGCAGCAGCCAGAAGGCTGAGTCACAAAGCAACACAAGACGACAGTAAAACAGGTGTACCCACAAACATACATGTGTGCATGTACTTGCCAGGGCAAGTTTCTAATCCTGGAGCAAAACGTCTGATTTAGACGACGTAGAAGAAAACCAGGAATACACAAGGACACCGATCCCACAACGATACATGACACGCTACACATACATGTCTGTTTTCTTTGACATCAGATGACTTCAAAGTCAAGACAACTGTTTGAATTGGTTTATGCTAGGGCAAGCAGCTTGGCAAGTCAGATACAGTAAATATTCATCAAAAAAAGTAATTGTTGCCATTATATCATATGGGCAAGCAGTGAAATGACTGAATCATGATAACAGCAGGGCCCAACTGTATTTGTTAGCAAAAATACAGAGAAATGGAATTCTACAATTTGGCAAGAGCCTTTATCTTTCTTCCTTGTATTTGCAGAATATGAGATTTCAGATCTACA